GGGACCCAGATGTGCAGGATAGATCCCCCTGAGTAAGGGAGAGGGAAGACAGCCCACCGCAGACTCAGCCTTACAAACGAGCCCTTTGGCCAGCTGATGTAGATACTGATGCCAGGGCCTGGGCCTGCTCTGGGTCGAACCGGCCAAGAACTGAAACAAAAGCCAATAATCACTCCCCAGCATGGTATTTTAGGTAGGACCATGTGCACATCTGGAAGAGGGGGAGCAGAAGGAGGCAAGACAGGAGTTCCTGCTCTGGGAACTTTTGTTTGTCTGAGCATGGGGTGCCAAGAATTGAACTAATCATAAACTTCGGTTCCTGATACTCAACATTGGTCTATCCAGGCCCCACTTTCATTTTTCATTTAATCAGCCACTAATCTTTATTAACAGAGAACTATTTTCCAACCCATCCTCCCCTCCCCCAAAAGGTAAAGTATTGACATTAACTTACACTAACCATACGGTTTACCCCACCATATGGTTCCAACCGTCTGCTCCCCCATAACTTCGCCCTAAATCCTCTGTCTAACATTACTTCGCTTTTCTTCTCATAGAGCATTATTGTAGTTATATGTATTCCTAGAAGATATTTTCTTTAATTTTAGCTTTTTAAGTTTATAAGATGCCATGCTCTGTCTTCCAGTGCATTTCTTTTACTTAATATCCTATTACCAAGATTCATCCATATTTTTGCATGTCAATGTTGCTCATTTGTTTTGCCTGAGTATGATCCTGCACCGTGTGAAAACATCAACTAATCTGCCCTCCAACTAGTGGGCATGTGGGCTTTTACAGGCTTCCAGCATTACAAACATGGTTGCATGGGTCTCCTCCTGGTCATGAGTTTCTCTTGGGCATATGTACTTAGGACTGCAATTGCTGGGCCATAAGAAATGTGAATTTCAACTTTGGGAGAAAATGAGATAACATCCAAGTGTTTTCCATTTGATAGCATTTCTTACAGCTTCTAAGATGATCATTTCCTCTTCCTGGCCTTCTCAATTTCGCTCCTCTAAATTTCACATGTCAGTTCCATCAAAATGTTTAAACCAAGTTCTTTGCCTAACACCTAATGAGCATTTCAGATAAATCTCCCGGGGTGGAAAAGAAGGGTCTTGTCAGGCCCACAGGTAACAGGAAGAGTGTCTACACAGACTCAGGGACCCACCCCAGTCCAGACACTGACGCAGACTAGCCAAAAGAAAGAGAGCAGTCTAGAAGCTGTTTCACACCTGCTCCCCATCCCAGTTTGCTCGTTCTGTCTCTCCTCCCCCAAACCTCCCATAACCACCACACATACTAATTTTTAAACAAGGAACAAAAGCCTGTAAATGGGGGGAAGATTATTTATGAAATAACCAATTTCAGGTTCAAATGAGAGCAAGGGGTCTAGCTTGGACACCACTGCAGATTCTGACCCATTTCAGTAAACATTCAGAGAACACTTTGCAGTGTAACCCAGCACACGGACAAATAAGACCTCTATTCTGCCCTCAAGGTGCTGTGAGTTTGTTCATTTCCCAAGACAGGGTTGTACGTGATGTGCCACCAGCGTTAGCGCGGAGAAGGTGGAGATGCTAGCCTGATCTCTAGACGCTCATTGTGGAAAGATCAGCCGAAGTTAGAATGCAAGTGAGCCAAATACAGGAGCTGGTCGAAGGTGAGAGCGACCAATTCTCCCCCAAAGGGTGTTCTGCAGGAGAGCTCCTGGGGAGTGGTGCAGGAGCTGGGTTTTGAAGGGCAAACCCAGCCAGCAAGAGGAGAGAGAACCAATAAAGAACAGACATAAAACAAGAAACCCAATTCCTTACTCAGGCTTCTTGACCTTCCCATTTTCGCCTCTTTTCAAATTTCTTAAATCTATTTCTGGCCTCCAGTCATGCAAAAGCACTAAGAAAGTGGAACCCGTAGAATGCTGTTAAACATGCATTGTCTGCATTAACTGATTTTTTCCATAAACAACAACATAGTCCTTCCCCACCCAGCACCTGGCCCCGTGCTAGGCTCTGGGGATGCACCAGTAGAGAAGATGGGCCAGTTCCCGCCATCACCCAGCTCCTGGGCAGACAGAGGTTTAGACAAAGACAGGCAGTTGACTTGGCCTGACCATCAGCCAGACTCCATCATCCTGGGATAGCCCCTCCCCCACCCTAACCTCCCCCGAAACATTTTCGGTAAATTGTACAGGATTAAAGAAATGCCTGCCTTCTCAGTAATTAAAAGGATCCTGACCAGCATCCCAGGTAGCCAAGTGGCTGCTCAGAGCTCGGAGACCAAAAAATCAGGTGCTTCCTACAAAATAGCCTCCAATCTGATACTTGATAGCTGTGGGTTTCCAGAGTCAAACAGATGTCAGGAATTTTATGAAGGCAGGAAGCAAATAAGGGAGCGAGGATTGGGGTCTAGGCCTCGGGGGAGCTCAATTAGTGGGCCAGATAAAGTTAAACCAAAAGGGCATGCTCTCGGTTTCCTAGAAAGCCAGCTGGAAAAGATGTCAATCCTTAAGCCTCTGTCACTCAAAAGATTAACAGAAGAGACCCAGGTGTGCCCAAGGGAATATTGCAACAAACCAGATGTTTCTGCTTCTCTGACACTGACACTGGCCACTAGAGCCACACTCCTCAGGCCATCAAGAAGCCACAGAAGAGAGCTGGAATCTTTAGGGATTGCCTGAAACTCAAAGGCATCACCCTTTAGTGATTCAGACACCAAAAAATATTATTAACCCTTTCTTACAGCCTCCCCTAATGCGTCCAGGTTCAGTATTGTCTCAAGGAGCCATCTCTTCCTGTGAGAGGGACAGCACCACTGGTGGGATGAGCGCTCCCTGCGGTGGCTTGGTGGTAGGGAGAGCACACCACCTGTAAATCCATATAAACTGGGACGTGGGTCCCACAGCTACATGTGCACCATCAGTGTTTCAAGCAAGCCTGTTAGCTTCCCAGGGTCTCACTTGCAAAATGGCACTAACAAGACCCCCTTCCTTGTTGTTCTATGCATAAGCGGTCATGGAAATGGCCCAGCCCCCGTGTCCCTGAACGGCAGCTCTTCTTGTAGCCTATAAATGCACCCAAGTAAGCACATGCTCAAGACAACAGCTTTCCCTTGGTACTTTTACAGTGTGTGTGTGTGTGTGTGTGTGTGTGTGTGTGAAAGAGAGAATGCAGCTGGGATCCACACAAGCCTATTTACAGCTCCTGTTTTATTTCATCAGATCTATCGAATGATTAAACTAAAGAAGCTAGAAGGAAACCTAACCAATGTCCCTATTTCCCCCTAAAGCCTCTAGCCTTCCCCTAAAAGTTGCTTCCTCCAATTTCAGGAGGCAGAGAAGGAAAGCCATATGGCTTGAGATGCTAGACATGCCCAGCAGCAAACGAGCCCCCCACCATTTGTCTCCGGGCCTCTCGTGTGGGCGGGCATCCAGATTTCAGTCGGGGTGCTCTGGTCTGCGTCTCTGTCTTGACTGTTCCTAATTATTGGAGGGAACGCTGTGGCTCTCCTGACCTCGGAGTTTAAGAGCTGCGGAGTCCTAATATCAAACCAAGCAGCTTCATTTAAAAGGCATCCTCATCTGCATCCATAAAAGTCCCTCCCGGAGCCCACACTCGCCCCAGCTTCGAGAACGCCTGCTGTCGAGGATTTACGACACGCCCTGGATCTAATCTGCGGCACCTTAACTGCTTTTTGTGGCACATCTGGTCATAAAAGCAAGAGCCGGCACAACACGGGGACAAACACTTTTCTTTCCTAAGTGGCTGCAAATCTGATCTCCCAGTGATAGCTGGGCTCCCACGTCAGCAGCAGCCGGTATCCGGGCGGTCGGGAAGGCTGCCCAGCCTTTGCAAGGCTTTTCCTCCACACACGACAGCTATAAAGAGGACTCTCCTAGAGCAAGAGCTCCGAATAAAGAACCTGCGGTCTGAACAGGTGGTAATGGGGCTAGGCCCGCAGATACCCTGGAAAGCCCCCGGCGCTTAGGGAGCCAATCTTGTTTTCACAAAGATTCCAGCTGCTTCACACGGACTCTCAGGCTGCCAGTCGAGGCAAGCAGCTATCCGGAGAGACTGCCCTGACATAAGCTGATTCTTGGCCAGAGATCCTCTGGATTAAGTTCGGTCAAATGAACCACCAGGTGGTTTAATAGCACATTTTTTTTTTTTAAGGCAGCGGAATCCTTCATTTAGACCAATTGGGGTGGGAGGAGCAATAATTTAGACCAGCCATGAACACAATGCCTTCAGTTCCAGGAGATTTTACAACGCTCTGGACAGCCTGTCCTGTGCACAGAATTGGCACATTTGCATATCGTTCAGAAACTCCAATCAGACCAAGGTTCAACAAGTAGTTCAACCTCCCAGCCCCGAAGTCAGGGGGAAAAGACTCTTGAGCACTGCGCAGCGCCTCTCCGCAGCCCCCCACCTCCACCCCTGCTCCGGGGCTGTGCCCAGCAGGAGAGAGCATTAAAATTATCTGCCGTGGGTTTTACGAGCAGCGATCACTTTTTAAAACAACAACAACACAAGGTCCTTGTGTGGCTCTCAGGTAACCTAAAACTCTGGAGGCAGAGCTGCCCCCCACCCCCTCGCCGCCTGCCAAGAACGCCGGCGCTCCGGGACCCAGACCCCGCGCGGCGTGAGACCACAGGGCAGCCCACTCGAGCGGAGAGCGAGCCTTTTTCGGACGCTGGAGGCACCCGCTCGGAGCAAAATACTCTAGGAGAAGAGACAGGGAAAGAAAACCCAGTGACAGTTCGAGGGGGAAGGCGGGAGGCAGATCGGCGCTGCAAGAAAGGAGGGAGGTGGGGGGAAGAACGGGAGAAATTTTTATTCGCCCAGAAGCCCACGGGGACCGGGTGGTAGGTGCGGGGTGGCGGGGGGAGGCGAGGTCTGACAACTCCCTTCCCCCTCCACCTCCACCCCCCCCGCCCCGAGGGATGGGGGCAGGCGACCTCAGGCTCCCTCCGCAGGTGGGCGCGCGGCCGGGGGCGCACTTACCCTGGGGCCCGTGGTGCGGTGGCCGCGAACTAGGGACAGCTGCACCAACACGAGCAGCAAGTGGGGCGTGAGCAGGCGGGCGCAGCGCGCGGGCAGCATGGTGCCAGCCGGGCCGGGCAGCCGGCTGCGGGCGGGGGGCGCGGATTCCGCGGGGCGCACGGCTGCGCCTGCCTTCCTGCCTTCCTTCCCTCGGGGGCCCTCGCGGCTGCCGGGCGGCGGGGCGGCGGGGGCGGCGGCGCTGCGCTCAGAGCGCCCGGTCATGAACCGCCAGGGAGGGGAGCTGGAGCGCGAGCGTGTGCTCTGCGCGCGGTGCTCGCTCGCTCGGCTCGGCCGGGCCGCGGCGGCAGCAGGTTGGACGCCAGAGCCCAGGCCATGGGAATTCCCGTTATAAACCCCCGGGAGGGGCGGGGCGGAGCCGGGCGGCCCTGATTGACAGGCCGAGGGGCCCGTAGCAGCCGACCCTCTGGCAGGTGAAAGCCAATCGGAGAGCGGACAGAGGGGCGGCTCGCGGTCAACCCCACCGAGGAGAGACACCCGCTTGCTCAGCCGGAGTGGGCTCCCGGAGAGCCTGGGAGGAAGAACAACTTTCTCGCGGTCCTTCTGTCTGAGGAAGCCTCGAAGAGCTCCAGCGGCCCTAACTCCCGGAACGCCCACCCGGCTAAAAAGTCAGGCCTTAAGCGTGGGTAATCTTCGACAGAATTCCACGAGTTGTCCCAACAGTCCTGTAAAATAAACAGGAAAAATATTTGTAGCCCCATTTTTCTGAAGAGGATACTAGGGCTCAAAGGAGTTAAGAAATCTGTTTCATCATCACATCAACACCAAGAACAACTGAGAAGGGGACCCGCGCGGGACAGGCTGTGAATGGCCTTGGGAGTGGGGAGTGCATGCGTTCACTTCTTGTAAAGAAGCTTCCAGGGGATGACAACCCAAGTCCTAAAGCATTTCCCCTGGGAGAAGTGCCTAGGAGATAAGGTGAAGCACATCCTAGTTATCCACCTGCTGGGGAGGGCCCCTGTGGCTATGGGGTAATGCCCACCTGGAACCCTGCAGGGGGTGGGGGTGGGAATCCAGGATTGGGACCCAGGCATCCTGGCTCCCTGCCTTGGACTGGAGGGCCAAGGGGCAGCCACTCTGTGGCCTAGGAGTTCTGGGAGAGGAGGTCAGAGGGGACCTGTTCTCCAACTGGGGGAGTGGAAGAAAAATATTGATGGGGAGGGATGGTCTGTGGGTGCAAAGACCCCACAGCTGGGTCAGAGTGGGGAAAGGAGACCTCTCCTGGGTGCCCAACCCACTTGGAGACGATAACACCACAAAAGGTCCAGCCGGATGTTGAAGGTCTCTGCGCAGGATAGTCTCCAAAGGGCCGTCTTGGGAATGGTCACAGCTGCATCACACCAGCTCCTGGGCCAGAGCACCATCCACTGCATTCAACCCAAGAGAACCATGGCTTCCCTTTTTGTGTGGATTATAACCCTTAGGGTTTACTTCCATTGAATGCACCACTCACTACATGAGGAGGGAATCCTTTCTCCAACCAGACAGGAAGCATCAGCACCAGCACTTAATTCCTCCCTCGTGTCTGTGCCTGAGAGGTCCTACCAAGTGTTAGCTCTGCTCCCTTATGCCTTCTCCTCTGGACTGTGTGAACATACTTCCCACCCAACTCCTGCATTTGGCTTTGCCTACTCCCCTTGCGTGCCTCATCCAGCCTCCACCCTACATCCTTCCAAAAGAGCAAACCTGAATGTACTGCTCCCTACTTAATAGACTTAAACTCTGCCCGGTGCTCTCCGATAAAGAGAGCCCAGACTGGATGCTGGAACAATAACAATAATACTTGTCGTTCTCCAGACAAAAACAAAGACCATCTCTCAGGGAAGTGCCTGTCTTCCTCTGCTGAGAAGTAACACAGTGGTCAGGCTGCTTTCTGGAGCTAGACAGGATGGGTTCAAATCCTGGGTCTGCCACCTAGTGGCATAACCTTGCACAAGTCACTTTACTCCTCTGGGGTCCAGTCTTTCCCTCTGTAAAATGGGGATAAAAATAGTCTCTACTTCATGAGTGGTCAGGGTTCAAGGAGATGGTTAAGTTAGAAATACCACCTCTGGCTAAGAAGAGGGCAAGGCAAATGGCTCATCTCATTTTATCCTCAGAATGATCCTGTGAAGTAGAGAGATAGATCCAACTTTACAGGTAAGTAAACAGATAGTCCAGGAGATTGTGACTTCCTTTCCTCATCTGGCTGGTAAAGGACGTCCGAGAGTCAAGGCTAGGTTTTCAGATTCTAATTCCGCCTCTGTCGTGTGATGACCACAGTGTCCAATCTCAAATGCCATAGGGTTAGATGCTCCCTATGTGGTGGACAGAGAATCTCAGCCATGACCTGGAGAAGAACTGAGACTTGGGAGCGGCACCGAGCTTCAGGGGAAGAGCGTGGAAACAGCCCCTATGATCTGGCATGCTGGGAATTCGCCCAGCTGGACTCGTGACACTGGCCCAATACTACTGTGCCTCATGCAGCACTTAGATTAATTTCCGTGTGCCCTGTGTGTTCACGCACCAGGGGTAGGCAGGATGGAAATGTTATCACCGAGCTCCGCAGCCTGACAGGTCTGTCCTGCCTCCACCACCTGGCCATGTACACATGGTCAAGCTGGTCAACTTCTTCCTGTTGCTGGAATTATTGAGAAATCTGCTGGAGTAAGTAAATATGCTTGCGATGGCCCTCCAGTATCTGGCAGCTCCGTGCACCAAGGGAAAAGGCATTGCAATCGTCCTTTCCATCCATAACACTGCATGCTGCTTTCTAGCCAGAAAGCCTATTTCCAACTGGTTGCTGGTCCAAAAGTCTACATTTTCTGGATTTCAACCATGTAGCTTAGTTTAAAATATGAGCAACTGCTTTCCAGTTACTTTGCTCAGCAAGTATTTTCTTTCCCTCTGGTTGGCATGCAGGGCCTGTCGTAACCATGGCCATCATTCAAATGATGCATTTTCTTCTCCCAACTCCTCCCAACCCCAGAGAAGGTTAGAAATTCCAGAGAACTACTAGTCTCAAACAGCGTGTCTCTGCCAGGCTCAATCTTCTGATCCAAGCAAAAAGTGAAATTGACAAGTTCCTTCTTTCCCTGGAGGCCAGGCTTATGGTCCAAAAATAAATTTAGCTATTCTGGCATCTGGTCTGTCCAGTTCCAGCCATACTCCTTGCCCTGTGGGACTTCTATTTGCAAGGGGATATTTCAGTAGAAGAAAAATAATACTTTATATCCCATATTGAGGCCTGAGGGCCTCAAATATTTAGTATTAGCTCGGAATGCCCGTTTCAAGAATATGTTTCTGTATAATCCAAAGGAGACTTGCCTTGTCTCATATTACAAATAGAACCTTTCCATTTATTTTAACAAGCACTTTGATGCATCTCCTTCTGTGCCCGGCACAATGCTCACTATTATGAGGAATTTTGGGTGCACATCCTGCCCTCTGAGTGGTTATAATCTAAGACACAAAGCAGACAGATTCTTGGAGACCATTACTTAAAAGCAATGTATTTTGGGGACTCAGAGAGCGGGGATCCACTATAGACCTAACGACCAGGGAAGGCCTCATAAAGAAGGTAGATCTTGAATGAGGCTTTGGAGAAAAGTCCTTCTATAATATAAATATACTTTGATTTATGTTTGCTTCACTTGTGACAACAGCTACCAACAGAAAAGGGTGAGTTGTGTCGAAGGTCCTGGATTCTTTTCAAATATACTCCTGTACCCAGAAACCTGGGACACCAAGAATCTTGGGTTTTAAAAAAAGAAAAATATGGGGGGTGATGGATATGTTCATTGACTTGATGGGGAAAACCTTTCATAATGTATACATATATCAGATCATCATGGCGTGCACCTCAAGTATTTTACAATTTTATTTGTCAATTGTACCTCAATGAAGCTGAAAAAATATGCATATCAAAAGTAATTAGAGTGAATAAGTTAGAAGCTTATTTCTCTCTTTTGTACACAAACTCCCTTCAAAGTCAAGGGTAGCTCCCTCTAACCCAGGTTTCTTCTAGTATCGCCCTGTCATTTCTTTCTTTCATTCTTTTTTTTTTTAAGATTTATTTATTTATTTGAGAGAGACAGAGAGAGCATGTAACCAGGGGGAAGGAGCATGCAACCAAAAGGGAGTGGGAGAGAAGCAGACTCCCCACTGAGTGGGGGGCCCCAGAGGGGCTCAATCCCATGAACCTGGGGACTCCATCCCACAAACCTGAGATGACTTGAGCTGAAACCAAGAGTCATATGTTTAAATGACTGAGCCACTCAGGCATCCATACTGTGTCATTCTTCATAAGCAGCTTCTACCTCAAAGTCCAAGATCGCTGCTCAAACTCTAGACATCACATCTCTTTTCTCACCAGCAGGGAGAGAAAAGGGCCAAAGAGGAGCATGCCTCTCTCTTTAAAGACATCTCCCAAGAAGTCACATTTCATTGTATCTGTATGACCACATCTAGCTACAAAAAAAAGATTGAAAAATTTTCATCTTAATTGGAGGTGGCCACAAGTGTCCAGCTAAAAATCAGGTTTTATGTTACCAAGAAGAATAAAATCCTGGAAGACAACTAGCAGTAGGAGCTATCATCATTATGATGCCTAGAGTTGCCAAACAAAAGAACCAAAAACAATGCAATAGAGCTCAGAATGTTAAGTTGTGGCTTTTCTCCACCTCTGCATGTCCAACTCCCTCATGCTCAAAAACATTAATAGGCTTAGGGCCAGACACCCAGACTCTTTTTTTTTTTTTAAGATATTATTGGCATATAACATTGTATTAACACAATGATTTGGTATATGTATGTTTGTGAAATTATTACCACAATAAGTTAACATCTGTCTCCTCAAATAGTTTTTTCTTATGATAAGAACTCTTAAGATCTACTCTCTCAGCAACCTTCAAATATATAATACAGCATTAGTAGTCTCATTATGCAGATGAAGAACTGAGGCTTAACCACTAAGATTAACTTCACCAAAGGTGGTCCTTATATTTTGCATGCACTTCAAAACTTTTGGAATTCTTGGGGCACCTGGGGGTTCATTGGGTCGGGTATCCGCCTTCGGCTTAGGACATAATCCCAGGATCCTGGGATCAAGCCCCATATCAGGCTCCCTGCTGCGAAGGAAACCTGCTTCTCCCTCTCCCTCCGCCTGCCACTCCCCCTGCTTGTGTGCTATCTCTCTGTTAAAGAAATAATTTTTTTTTTTAAGTTTTGGCATCCTCTTAAATCTGTCAGTACTAAGAGTCAGAAGCACATGCTATATTCACACGTGCTATTTTGTGTATTACTGAAG